ATTCAGAGGTTACGACGTCTGTATTTAATCCAGAGGTTACGGCGTCTGTGTTTAATCCAGATGTTACTCCGTCTGTGTTTAATCCAGAGATTACGGCGTCTGTTTTATCCATAGATTATAGCGTCTGAGTTTAATCCAGAGGGTACAGCGTCTGTATTTAATCCAGAGGTTACAGTGTCTGTGTTTAATCCAGAGGTAACTGCGTCTGTGTTTAATCCAGAGGTTAGGGCGTCTGTGTTTAATCCAGAGGTTACGGTGTCTGTGTTAAAACAGACGCTGTAACCTCAGGATTTATCTATTGATTACAGCGTCTGTGTTTAATCCAGAGGGTACAGCGTCTGTGTTTAATCCAGAGGGTACAGCGTCTGTGTTTAATCCAGAGGTTACGGCGTCAGTGTTTAATCCAGAGGTAACGGCGTCTGTGTTTAATCCAGAGGTTACGGCGCCTGTGTTTAATCCATAGGTTACGGCGTCTGTGTTTAATCCAGAGGTTACGGCGTCTGTGTTTAATCCAGAGTTATGGCGTCTGTGTTTAATCCAAAGGTTACGGCGTCTGTATTTAATCCAGAGGTCACGGCGTCTGTGTTTAATCCAGAGGTTACGGCGTCTGTGTTTAATCCAGAGGTTATGGCGTCTGTGTTTAATCCAAATGTTACGGCGTCTGTATTTAATCCAGAGGTTGCCGCGTCTGTGTTTAATCCAGAGGTTACAGCGTCTGTTTTATCCATAGATTATAGTGTCTGTTTAATCCAGAGGGTACAGCATCTGTGTTTAATCCAGAGGTTACAGCGTCTGTTTTATCCATAGATTATAGCGTCTGTGTTTAATCCAGAGGTTATAGCGTCTGTGTTTAATCCAGAGGTTACAGCGTCTGTGTTTAATCCAGAGGGTACAGCGTCGGTGTTTAATCCAGAGGTTACGGCGTCTGTGTTAAATCCAGAGGTTACAGCGTCTGTTTTATCCATTGATTACAGCGTCTGTGTTTAATCCAGAGGGTACAGCGTCTGTGTTTAATCCAGAGGTTACAGCGACTGTGTTTAATCCAGAGGTTACAGCGCCTGTGTTTAATCCAGAGGTTACAGCGCCTGTGTTTAATCCAGAGGGTACAGCGTCTGTGTTTAATCCAGAGGTTACAGCGACTGTGTTTAATCCAGAGGTTACAGCGCCTGTGTTTAATCCAGAGGTTACGCCGTCTGTGTTTAATCCAGAGGTTACGGCGTCTGTGTTTAATCCAGAGGTTACGGCGTCTGTGTTTAATCCAGAGGTTACGCCGTCTGTGTTTAATCCAGTGGTTATGGCGTCTGTGTTTAATCCAGAGGTTATGGCGTCTATATTTAATCCAGAGGTTACAGCGTCTGTGTTTAATCCAGAGGTTACGGCGCCTGTGTTTAATCCAGAGGTTACGGCGCCTGTGTTGAATCCAGAGGTTACGGCGCCTGTGTTGAATCCAGAGGTTACGGCGCCTGTGTTGAATCCAGAGGTTACGGCGCCTGTGTTTAATCCAGAGGTTACGGCGTCTGTGTTTAATCCAGAGGTTACGGCGTCTGTGTTTAATCCAGAGGTTACAGCGTCTGTGTTTAATCCAGAGGTTACAGCGTCTGTGTTTAATCCAGAGGGTACAGCGTCTGTGTTTAATCCAGAGGGTACAGCGTCTGTGTTTAATCCAGAGGTTACAGCGTCTGTGTTTAATCCAGAGGTTACAGCGTCTGTGTTTAATCCAGAGGTTACAGCGTCTGTGTTTAATCCAGAGGTTACAGCGTCTGTGTTTAATCCAGAGGGTACAGCGTCTGTGTTTTATCCATAGATTATAGCGTCTGTGTTTAATCCAGAGGTTACAGCGTCAGTGTTTAATCCAGAGGGTACAGCGTCTGTGTTTTATCCATAGATTATAGCGTCTGTGTTTAATCCAGAGGTTACAGCATCTGTTTTATCCATAGATCATAGCGTCTGTGTTTAATCCAAAGGGTACAGCGTCTGTGTTTAATCCAGAGGTTACAGCGTCTGTGTTTAATCCAGAGGGTACAGCGTCTGTTTTATCCATAGATTATAGCGTCTGTGTTTAATCCAGAGGTTACAGCGTCTGTGTTTAATCCAGAGGGTACAGCGTCTGTTTTATCCATAGATTATAGCGTCTGTGTTTAATCCAGAGGTTACAGCGTCTGTGTTTAATCCAGAGGTTACAGCGTCTGTGTTTAATCCAGAGATTATAGCGTCTGTGTTTAATCCAGAGGGTACAGCGTCTGTGTTTAATCCAGAGGTTACAGCGTCTGTGTTTAATCCAGAGGTTACAGCGTCTGTTTTATCCATAGATTATAGCGTCTGTGTTTAATCCAGAGGGTACAGCGTCTGTGTTTAATCCAGAGGTTACAGCGTCTGTGTTTAATCCAGAGGTTCATAGCGTTTCAACACTTTCTAATGAATATTATTTAATCCTAATCCCAACACTATAATGAATCAGACTTTAAACACATTCTTTTATCTCTGAGGATGTTACTTTGTGTTTCAGATTAAATCCTGCTGCAGTCAGATGTTTCTATGACTTTCTAAATTAAGTTATCAGTGATCTACACACACACACACACATATACACACACACACACACAGATATACACACACACACATACACACACACACATATACACACACACACACACAGACACACACAGACATACACACACACACACAGACACACATACACACACACACACACACAGACAGATATACACACACAGATACACACACACATACACACACACACAGACACACACACACACACACAGATATACACACACACACGCACAGACGCACACATATACACACAGACACACATACACACACACACACACACACACAGATATACACACACACACGCACAGACGCACACATATACACACAGACACACATACATACACACACACATACACATACACATACCCACACACACACACACACACACATAACTGTATTATACAACGTTTATCTCCATTACTTTCCTGTGTCTTATCGCCGCCAGCTACAATTTACTGTCACTAATTAAACCACTGCTGTCTGTATGTGTACGTATCTGTGTGTGTGTGTGTGTGTGTTTGTGTGTGTATCTGTGTATCTGTGTCTGTGTGTGTACGTATCTGTGTGTGTGTGTGTGTGTGTGTGTGTGTGTTTGTGTGTGTATCTGTGTATCTGTGTCTGTGTGTGTGTCTGTGTGTGTGTACGTATCTGTGTGTGTACGTGTGTGTGTGTGTGTGTGTGTGTGTTTGTGTGTGTATCTGTGTATCTGTGTCTGTGTGTGTGTCTGTGTGTCTGTGTGTGTACGTATCTGTGTGTGTGTGTGTGTACGTATTTGTGTGTCTGTGTGTGTGTGTCTGTGTGTGTGTGTGTGTGTGTGTGTGTATCTGTGTGTATCTATGTGTCTGTGTGTGTACGTATCTATGTGTCTGTGTGTGTGTGTGTGTGTGTCTGTGTCTGTGTCTGTGTGTGTGTGTGTGTGTGTGTGTATCTGTGTGTATCTATGTGTCTGTGTGTGTACGTATCTGTGTGTCTGTGTGTGTGTGTGTGTGTCTGTGTGTGTACGTATGTGTGTGTCTGTGTGTGTGTGTGTGTGTGTGTATCTGTGTGTGTGTCTGTGTCTGTTTATCAGTCTTTTGAAATTGTGATAACGTTTGGAGGAGACGCGATCAGGCTGCTTCATCTGACAGAGTGGAGACAGAAGGGGGAGGGAGGGAGAGGGAGGGAGGGAGAGGGAGGCAGAGGGGAGGGGGGAGGGAGGCAGAGGGGAGGGGTGAGGGAGGCAGAGGGGAGGGGTGAGGGAGGCTGTGGGGAGGGGGGAGGGAGGCAGAGGGGAGGGGTGAGGGAGGCAGAGGGGAGGGGGAGGGAGGCTGTGGGAGGAGCAGCCTGGGGAGGGAGAGAGAGGGAGGGAGAGAGAGGGAGGCAGAGGGGAGGGGTGAGGGAGGCAGAGGGGAGGGGGGAGGGAGGCTGTGGGAGGAGCAGCCTGGGGAGGGAGGAGGCTGTGGGGAGGGGTGAGGGAGGCTGTGGGAGGAGCAGCCTGGGGAGGGAGGCTGTGGGAGGAGCAGCCTGGGGAGGGAGGCTGTGGGAGGAGCAGCCTGGGGAGGGAGGCTGTGGGAGGAGCAGCCTGGGGAGGGAGGCTGTGGGAGGAGCAGCCTGGGGAGGGAGCTGGCAGAGTCAGTCCATGTGCAGGAGACGAGCCCCGGGACAACACACGGTAAGAGAAAGACTTTAGTGCGATTCAAAAACACATTGAATTGAACTTTTGGACGTAAGAAGCTTCTTTGAAATATTGATGAATGAAAGTTTCTGAGCTGATTCTCTGATCTGCCATTGGCCGATCGACAACTGCACTCACAGTAATGTTACACTTCATGCTTAGATAAACAGTATGCTTCACCTGAACTACAGCTGGGGGAGATTCCAGTGTTGCAATGCACAGTTGGTTTCTGTTTCTGTGTCACATGTCTCTCTCTCGACCAATCAGCTTTCAGCTTCATGTTTTATAATGTATTAGATTTGTTTTCCGCTCTTTCTGTCGAGTCAAACACAATATATTTATGAAACAACATGGTCAATTATACTTTCTATAGGTTTATATGAACAGTGACTCTGAGGGACAGGGACTGGACTCCTGCTGGGACTCTGAGGAGCACAGGGACTGGACTCTGAGGAGCACAGGGACTGGACTCCTGCTGGGACTCTGAGGAGCACAGGGACTGGACTCTGAGGAGCACAGGGACTGGCCTCCTGCTGGGACTCTGAGGAGCACAGGGACTGGACTCTGAGGAGCACAGGGACTGGCCTCCTGCTGGGACTCTGAGGAGCACAGGGACTGGACTCCTGCTGGGACTCTGAGGAGCACAGGGACTGGCCTCCTGCTGGGACTCTGAGGAGCACAGGGACTGGCCTCCTGCTGGGACTCTGAGGAACACAGGGACTGGCCTCCTGCTGGGACTCTGAGGAGCACAGGGACTGGACTCCTGCTGGGACTCTGAGGAGCACAGGGACTGGCCTCCTGCTGGGACTCTGAGGAGCACAGGGACTGGCCTCCTGCTGGGACTCTGAGGAACACAGGGACTGGCCTCCTGCTGGGACTCTGAGGAACACAGGGACTGGACTCCTGCTGGGACTCTGAGGAGCACAGGGACTGGCCTCCTGCTGGGACTCTGAGGAGCACAGGGACTGGACTCCTGCTGGGACTCTGAGGAACACAGGGACTGGCCTCCTGCTGGGACTCTGAGGAGCACAGGGACTGGACTCCTGCTGGGACTCTGAGGAGCACAGGGACTGGCCTCCTGCTGGGACTCTGAGGAGCACAGGGACTGGCCTCCTGCTGGGACTCTGAGGAACACAGGGACTGGCCTCCTGCTGGGACTCTGAGGAACACAGGGACTGGCCTCCTGCTGGGACTCTGAGGAGCACAGGGACTGGCCTCCTGCTGGGACTCTGAGGAGCACAGGGACTGGACTCCTGCTGGGACTCTGAGGAGCACAGGGACTGGACTCCTGCTGGGACTCTGAGGAGCACAGGGACTGGCCTCCTGCTGGGACTCTGAGGAGCACAGGGACTGGACTCCTGCTGGGACTCTGAGGAGCACAGGGACTGGCCTCCTGCTGAGTTGCCTTGTGTATGAACTGTGCTATACAAATAAACTTAGAGATTAGATCTAAGTTTTCAGCCTTGCAGCGACACTCACTGCTCTGTTTCCTTTTGTTACTATGGTCACGGACTGTAGAGTTAGATAGAGTTAAGATAGTTAGAGTTAAGATAGTTAGATAGTTAGTTAAGATAGTTAGAGTTAAGATAGTTAGAGTTAAGATAGTTAGAGTTAAGATAGTTAGATAGTTAGAGTTAGATATAGTTAAGATAGTTTGAGTTAGAGTTAGATAGAGTTAAGATAGTTAGATATAGTTAAAGTTAGATAGTTAAGATAGTTAGAGTTGAGATAGTTAGAGAGTTAGATAGAGTTAGAGTTAGATAGAGTTAAGAGAGTTAGATAGAGTGTCCTATGTGGACCGTGAGGACAATGTGTCCTATGTGGACCCGGAGGACCATGTTTCCTGTGTGGACCGTGAGGACTATGTGGACCGTGAGGACCGTGTGTCCTATGTGGACCGTGAGGACCGTGTGTCCTATGTGGACCGTGAGGACCGTGTTTCCTGAGTGGACCGTGTTTCCTATGTGGACCGTGAGGATCGTGTGTTCTATGTGGACCGTGAGGACCATGTGTCCTATGTGGACCGTGAGGACCATGTGTCGTATGTGGACCGTGAGGACCATGTGTCGTATGTGGACCGTGAGGACCATGTGTAGTATGGGACCATGAGGACCATGTGTAGTATGGGACCGTGAGGACCATGTATCCTGTGTGGACCGTGAGGACCATGTGTCGTGTGTGGACCGTGAGGACCATGTGTCGTATGTGGACCGTGAGGACCATGTGTCCTGTGAGGACCATGCGAGGACCTGAAACAGAACCCTCTCATGTAAATGGCAGGAGCTAATATTTGCATTTCCAAACCACTCTCTGCAGGACTCTGTCCTTCACTTTGTTCTGTCATGTTTTGTTCAGTAAATCAGTTTGATTTATTATTATTATTATTATTATTATTATTATCATCATCATCTTGATGACAGAGGCTTATTCTGAATTCACTACATTTACAATCCTACTTTTGTTTCCAGAATCTTCCTGTAGTTCCTAAGCACTGGTTACTGATGCAATCCACCTGCTGGGGTGGAAATGCTACAAACATTAGCTAGAAATGCTACAAACATTAGCTAGAAATGCTACAAACATTAGCTAGAAATGCTACAAACATTAGCTAGAAATGCTACAAACATTAGCTAGAAATGCTACAATCAGTGGCTCTTGTTTTGAGAACTTCAGACTCAGACCAGCTTTAGTCGTCCACAAACTGGACCGAGTTCAACAAAGTTTATAGAAAGTTATGCCTAAAAATAAGTGAAAATAATAACAATGTCCTAAACATTTGTCAGAACATTTGAGTTGTGACAGATGCAGATTAGTGTTATGGCACATCCTTTAATACAACAATAATAATAATGATTATTATTATAATTAGTATGACTTGGACCGTACGTGCGCTCTGATTGGTTGATTACCGGTCTGATATTTTCCCATCTCAGACCGTTACCATGACAATCTGTCCGCAGCGCGTATCACACAAAACCAAGTCGGACATGAACATACTTCACAAATATCTCAAAAGCATTGGACACAGACGAGAGTCATATAATAAAACATTTATTAACCTCGCCACGACTCGGTCTGTGCATTAAGGCTCGGTCTGTGCATTAAGGCTCGGTCTGTGCATTAAGGCTCGGTCTGTGCATTAAGGCTCGGTCTGTGCATTAAGGCTCGGTCTGTGCATTAAGGCTCGGTCTGTGCATTAAGGCTCGGTCTGTGCATTAAGGCTCGGTCTGTGCATTAAGGCTCGGTCTGTACATTAAGGCTCGGTCTGTACATTAAGGCTCGGTCTGTGCATTAAGGCTCGGTCTGTACATTAAAGCTCGGTCTGTGCATTAAGGCTCGGTCTGTGCATTAAGGCTCGGTCTGTGCATTAAGGCTCGGTCTGTGCATTAAGGCTCGGTCTGTACATTAAGGCTCGGTCTGTACATTAAGGCTCGGTCTGTGCATTAAGGCTCGGTCTGTACATTAAAGCTCGGTCTGTGCATTAAGGCTCGGTCTGTGCATTAAGGCTCGGTCTGTACGTTAAGGCTCGGTCTGTACATTAAGGCTCGGTCTGTACATTAAGGCTCGGTCTGTACATTAAGGCTCGGTCTGTACATTAAGGCTCGGTCTGTACATTAAGGCTCGGTCTGTACATTAAGGCTCGGTCTGTACATTAAGGCTCGGTCTGTGCATTAAGGCTCGGTCTGTGCATTAAGGCTCGGTCTGTACATTAAAGCTCGGTCTGTGCATTAAGGCTCGGTCTGTGCATTAAGGCTCGGTCTGTACGTTAAGGCTCGGTCTGTACATTAAGGCTCGGTCTGTACATTAAGGCTCGGTCTGTGCATTAAGGCTCGGTCTGTGCATTAAGGCTCGGTCTGTGCATTAAGGCTCGGTCTGTACATTAAGGCTCGGTCTGTGCATTAAGGCTCGGTCTGTGCATTAAGGCTCGGTCTGTACATTAAGGCTCGGTCTGTGCATTAAGGCTCAGTCTGTGCATTAAGGCTCGGTCTGTGCATTAAGGCTCGGTCTGTGCATTAAGGCTCGGTCTGTGCATTAAGGCTCGGTCTGTGCATTAAGGCTCGGTCTGTGCATTAAGGCTCAGTCTGTACATTAAGGCTCGGTCTGTACATTAAGGCTCGGTCTGTACATTAAGGCTCGGTCTGTGCATTAAGGCTCGGTCTGTACATTAAGGCTCGGTCTGTGCATTAAGGCTCGGTCTGTGCATTAAGGCTCGGTCTGTACATTAAGGCTCGGTCTGTACATTAAGGCTCTGTCTGTGCATTAAGGCTCGGTCTGTGCATTAAGGCTCGGTCTGTGCATTAAGGCTCGGTCTGTGCATTAAGGCTCGGTCTGTGCATTAAGGCTCGGTCTGTGCATTAAGGCTCGGTCTGTACATTAAGGCTCGGTCTGTGCATTAAGGCTCGGTCTGTGCATTAAGGCTCGGTCTGTACATTAAGGCTCGGTCTGTGCATTAAGGCTCGGTCTGTGCATTAAGGCTCGGTCTGTGCATTAAGGCTCGGTCTGTGCATTAAGGCTCGGTCTGTGCATTAAGGCTCGGTCTGTGCATTAAGGCTCGGTCTGTGCATTAAGGCTCGGTCTGTGCATTAAGGCTCGGTCTGTACATTAAGGCTCGGTCTGTGCATTAAGGCTCGGTCTGTGCATTAAGGCTCGGTCTGTGCATTAAGGCTCGGTCTGTGCATTAAGGCTCGGTCTGTACTGTACATTAAGGCTCGGTCTGTACATTAAGGCTCGGTCTGTGCATTAAGGCTCGGTCTGTGCATTAAGGCTCTGTCTGTACATTAAGGCTCGGTCTGTACATTAAGGCTCGGTCTGTACATTAAGGCTCGGTCTGTGCATTAAGGCTCGGTCTGTACATTAAGGCTCGGTCTGTACATTAAGGCTCGGTCTGTGCATTAAGGCTCGGTCTGTACATTAAGGCTCGGTCTGTGCATTAAGGCTCGGTCTGTACATTAAGGCTCGGTCTGTACATTAAGGCTCGGTCTGTACATTAAGGCTCGGTCTGTACATTAAGGCTCGGTCTGTGCATTAAGGCTCGGTCTGTACATTAAGGCTCGGTCTGTACATTAAGGCTCGGTCTGTGCATTAAGGCTCGGTCTGTACATTAAGGCTCGGTCTGTACATTAAGGCTCGGTCTGTACATTAAGGCTCGGTCTGTGCATTAAGGCTCGGTCTGTGCATTAAGGCTCGGTCTGTACATTAAGGCTCGGTCTGTACATTAAGGCTCGGTCTGTGCATTAAGGCTCGGTGAATAAGTCGTTAGTATCTTTCAGGTCAGAAACATGAACGACTAAACAGAATCTGAGATGACGACGAGCGACTCTGAAAAGATAAACACGTTCTGTTTTCTTTGTCGCGTCATCAATATTTCACCTTTGACCTTTAGCACTTTCCCTCCAGAGCCAGAAGGTTCTGGGTTCGATTCCCCCTCCAGGCCTTTGTGTGAACTCAGATCCCTCAGACCTCTGAAGCTAAGCAGGGCAGGGCCTGGTTAGTACTGTGATGGGAGACCTCTGAAGCTAAGCAGGGCAGGGCCTGGTTAGTACTGTGATGGGAGACCTCTGAAGCTAAGCAGGGCAGGGCCTGGTTAGTGCTGTGATGGGAGACCTGAAGCTAAACAGGAGAGGACCTGACTTTTTGACTTTATTCATATAATTTCATCAAATCAACAAAAACTAAAGTTTTAAGCTCTGTCTGCGATCTTTGTTCTGTTCCTTTTTCTTTCCACAAACCAGTTTCACTCACATCCCGTTCTCGTTCTGCAGGTTCCAAAGGAAACGAAGCCGCTCTCTGATTGGTCCAACATCACAGGCTCCACCCCCTGCATGATGTCACTGTCCCCTCCCGCCGCCCACAAACCTCCACAGGTCTGAGCCTTACATTAGAATATTGTAGCTTCACTTTGACAACACTGCACACAATGATAAAACATGAGGTAATAACTGCTTCAATCCAGTGTTTTTATCTTAATTTGACACATTCTGCTGATTTCTAGTTTTCTGTTTCTGTTAAGACCAAAATCATTTTCCTTTGTCTCGTGTATAGTATAGTATAGTATAGTATAGTATAGTAGTAATAATAATAATATCTCTATAATCTCACATCTCTGTAAAAGTCCGTCTCTTCCCAGGATCCTCTCAGAGAATGTTCCAGTTTACCACGAAGACGGACTCATCGGAACAAACAGCACGACCGACCACTCTCCACACAGGGTTAGACCAGAGACCAGAGAGAGACCAGAGAGAGACCAGAGAGAGACCCGAGAGAGACCAGAGAGAGACCAGAGAGAGACCAGAGAGAGACCAGAGAGAGACCAGAGAGAGAGACCAGAGAGAGACCAGAGAGAGACCAGAGAGAGAGACCCGAGAGAGACCCGAGAGAGACCAGAGAGAGACCAGAGAGAGAGACCCGAGAGAGACCCGAGAGAGACCAGAGAGAGACCAGAGAGAGAGACCCGAGAGAGACCCGAGAGAGAGACCAGAGAGAGAGACCAGAGAGAGACCCGAGAGACCAGAGAGAGACCAGAGAGAGACCAGAGAGAGACCAGAGAGAGAGACCAGAGAGAGAGACCAGAGAGAGACCCGAGAGAGACCCGAGAGAGACCCGAGAGAGACCCGAGAGAGACCCGAGAGAGACCCGAGAGAGACCCGAGAGAGACCCGAGAGAGACCCGAGAGAGACCCGAGAGAGACCAGACCCGAGAGAGGGACCCGAGAGAGGGACCCGAGAGAGGGACGCGAGAGAGGGACCAGACCCTATCTTATCTCTATAGTTTGAGACACCATTTTAACAGTAGAGACCTCAGCGTCCTCCTCCCACATGTGTGTGTGTGTGTATGTATACGTGTGTGTGTGTATGTATGTACATGTGTGTAACCAGCTGTCACATATATTACACAACACGACACAAGCAGGCCTGGCCCTGCCAGGAGCAGTGTGTGTGAAATAATAATGTGTATATGACAGAGTACTTTGTGACTCACAGACACATCAGCGGTGGATCCTGAACCTGTAAATCCAGCTTCAGCTTCAGCTGCTCTCGGAGCCACTCCTTTCATTTGTGTAAAAGGAGGAGACTAAACCAACTGTATTGTCCTGTGCTAGCTTTAGCCACTGCTAAACACAAAGAGGAGAGTGATGTCACAACCATGTGAAGGAGGCTGATGGTTCTACTGTGGACTGGACATGTTACAATGGTGTCTCAGACTATAGTGAGAAGGTCTCTCTCTGGACTCTCTCTGGTCTCTCTCCCCTCCTGGTCCCTCTCTCTCTGGTCCCTCTCTCTCTGGTCCCTCTCTCTCTGGTCTCTCTCTCTCTGGTCTCTCTGGTCTCCTGGTCTCTCCTCTCTGGTCCATCTCTCTCTGGTCTCTCTCTCTCTCTCTGGTCTCTCTCCCCTCCTGGTCTCTCCTCTCTGGTCCCTCTCTCTCTCTCTCTCTCTGGTCTCCCTGGTCTCCTGGTCTCTCTCTCTCTGGTCTCTCTCTCTCTGGTCTCTCTCTCTCTCTCTGGTCTCTCTCTCTCTGGTCTCTCTCTCTCTCTCTCTCTGGTCTCCCTGGTCTCCTGGTCTCTCTCTGGTCTCTCTCTCTCTGGTCTCTCTCTCTCTGGTCCCTCTCTCTCTGGTCTCTCTCTCTCTGGTCTCTCTCTGGTCTCTCTCCCCTCCTGGTCTCTCCTCTCTGGTCCCTCTCTCTCTGGTCTCTCTCTCTCTCTCCCTGGTCTCTCTCTCTGGTCCCTCTCTCTCTGGTCTCTCTCTCTCTGGTCTCCCTGGTCTCCTGGTCTCTCTCTGGTCCCTCTCTCTCTGGTCTCTCTCTCTCTGGTCTCCCTGGTCTCCTGGTCTCTCCTCTCTGGTCCCTCTCTCTCTGGTCTCTCTCTCTCTCTCCCTGGTCTCTCTCTCTGGTCCCTCTCTCTCTGGTCTCTCTCTCTCTGGTCTCCCTGGTCTCCTGGTCTCTCTCTGGTCTCTCTCTCTCTGGTCCCTCTCTCTCTGGTCTCTCTCTCTCTCTCCCTGGTCTCTCTCTCTGGTCTCTCCTCTCTGGTCCCTCTCTCTCTGGTCTCTCTCTCTCTCTCCCTCTCTGGTCTCTCTCTCTGGTCTCTCTCTCTCTGGTCCCTCTCTCTCTGGTCTCTCTCTCTGGTCTCTCTCTCTCTCTCTCTGGTCTCTCTCTCTCTGGTCCCTCTCTCTCTGGTCTCTCTCTCTGGTCTCTCTCTCTCTCTCTCTGGTCTCTCTCTCTCTGGTCCCTCTCTCTCTGGTCTCTCTCTCTGGTCTCTCTCTCTCTCTCTCTGGTCTCTCTCTCTCTGGTCCCTCTCTCTCTGGTCTCTCTCTCTGGTCTCTCTCTCTCTCTCTCTGGTCTCTCTCCCCTCCTGGTCTCTCTCTCTCTGGTCTCTCTCTCTCTGGTCTCTCTCTCTCTCTGGTCTCTCTCTCTCTGGTCTCTCTCCCCTCCTGGTCTCTCTCTCTCTCTGGTCTCTCTCTCTCTGGTCTCTCTCTCTCTGGTCTCTCTCTCTCTCTGGTCTCTTTCTCTCTGGTCTCTCTCTCTCTCTCTGGTCTCTCTTCTCTGGTCCCTCTCTCTCTGGTCTCTCTCTCTCTCTCTCTGGTCTCTCTCTCTCTGGTCCCTCTCTCTCTGGTCTCTCTCTCTCTCTCTCTGGTCTCTCTCTCTCTGGTCCCTCTCTCTCTGGTCTCTCTCTCTCTGGTCTCTCTCTCTCTCTCCCTGGTCTCTCTCTCTGGTCTCTCTCTCTCTGGTCCCTCTCTCTCTGGTCTCTCTCTCTGGTCTCTCTCTCTCTCTCTCTGGTCTCTCTCTCTCTGGTCCCTCTCTCTCTGGTCTCTCTCTCTGGTCTCTCTCTCTCTCTCTCTGGTCTCTCTCTCTCTGGTCCCTCTCTCTCTGGTCTCTCTCTCTGGTCTCTCTCTCTCTCTCTCTGGTCTCTCTCTCTCTGGTCCCTCTCTCTCTGGTCTCTCTCTCTGGTCTCTCTCTCTCTCTCTCTGGTCTCTCTCCCCTCCTGGTCTCTCTCTCTCTGGTCTCTCTCTCTCTGGTCTCTCTCTCTCTCTGGTCTCTCTCTCTCTGGTCTCTCTCCCTCCTGGTCTCTCTCTCTCTGGTCTCTCTCTCTCTGGTCTCTCTCTCTCTGGTCTCTCTCTCTCTCTGGTCTCTTTCTCTCTGGTCTCTCTCTCTCTCTCTGGTCTCTCTTCTCTGGTCCCTCTCTCTCTGGTCTCTCTCTCTCTCTCTCTGGTCTCTCTCTCTCTGGTCCCTCTCTCTCTGGTCCCTCTCTCTCTGGTCTCTCTCTCTCTGGTCTCTCTCTCTCTGGTCTCTCTCTCTCTGGTCTCTCTCTCTCTCTGGTCTCTCTCTCTCTGGTCTCTCTCCCCTCCTGGTCTCTCTCTCTCTGGTCTCTCTCTCTCTGGTCTCTCTCTCTCTGGTCTCTCTCTCTCTCTGGTCTCTTTCTCTCTGGTCTCTCTCTCTCTCTCTCTGGTCTCTCTCTCTCTGGTCCCTCTCTCTCTGGTCTCTCTCTCTGGTCTCTCTCTCTCTCTCTCTGGTCTCTCTCCCCTCCTGGTCTCTCTTCTCTGGTAAACTGTTGTCTGTCTCCTGCAGGTTTTGTGAGAGAGACGGTGACTCCCCGGGTCCCAGAGGCCTACATCTCCCCCGTCTCCCTTGTCTCCCCCATGTCCCCCATGTCCCCCGTGTCCTGTCAGCGCCTCAGCCAGAGCCTCAGCCAGAGCCTCTGCAACGGTCCCTCCAACGGTCAGAGTAACGGCCGCATCTCTGTCAGCAGCAGCAGGGGGGGGCTGCTCCCTCCATGCAACAGCAGCACCAGCTCCCGCGCCGCCAGGTCAGATCTATGACACGGTGGCTGAGTGGTTAGCACTCCTGCCTCTCAGCAAGAAGGTCCTGGGTTCGAATCTCGGGTCGGAACAGGGCCTTTCTGAGTGGAGTTTGCATGTTCTCCCTGTGCCGGCGTAGGTTTCCTCCGGGTGCATCTGGAGATGGTTCCCGGGCGCTGTTGCTACGGCTCCTGACGTAAGCCTTAAGCCTAGCATACATCGGACTGGCAACTGATTATATCCGTCGCATATGAGTTTCTGCCCCGCACACATCGACAATCTGACGAAAACTCCTGTATCAGACCAGTCTGAGGAATAACAGGTAACTCCTGTATCAGACCAGTCTGAGGAATAACAGGTAACTCCTGTATCAGACCAGTCTGAGGAATAACAGGTAACTCCTGTATCAGACCAGTCTGAGGAATAACAGGTAACTCCTGTATCAGACCAGTCTGAGGAATAACAGGTAACTCCAGTATCAGACCAGTCTGAGGAATAACAGGTAACTCCTGTATCAGACCAGTCTGAGGAATAACAGGTAACTCCTGTATCAGACCAGTCTGAGGAATAACAGGTAACTCCTGTATCAGGTCAGTCTGAGGAATAACAGGTAACTCCTGTATCAGGCAGTCTGAGGAATAACAGGTAACTCCTGTATCAGGTCAGTCTGAGGAATAACAGGTAACTCCTGTATCAGGTCAGTCTGAGGAATAACAGGTAACTCCTGTATCAGACCAGTCTGAGGAATAACAGGTAACTCCTGTATCAGACCAGTCTGAGGAATAACAGGTAACTCCTGTATCAGACCAGTCTGAGGAATAACAGGTAACTCCTGTATCAGACCAGTCTGAGGAATAACAGGTAACTCCTGTATCAGACCAGTCTGAGGAATAACAGGTAACTCCTGTATCAGGCCAGTCTGAGGAATAACAGGTAACTCCTGTATCAGACCAGTCTGAGGAATAACAGGTAACTCCTGTATCAGACCAGTCTGAGGAATAACAGGTAACTCCTGTATCAGACCAGTCTGAGGAATAACAGGTAACTCCTGTATCAGGTCAGTCTGAGGAATAACAGGTAACTCCTGTATCAGACCAGTCTGAGGAATAACAGGTAACTCCTGTATCAGACCAGTCTGAGGAATAACAGGTAACTCCTGTATCAGACCAGTCTGAGGAATAACAGGTAACTCCTGTATCAGACCAGTCTGAGGAATAACAGGTAACTCCTGTATCAGGTCAGTCTGAGGAATAACAGGTAACTCCTGTATCAGACCAGTCTGAGGAATAACAGGTAACTCCTGTATCAGACCAGTCTGAGGAATAACAGGTAACTCCTGTATCAGGCCAGTCTGAGGAATAACAGGTAACTCCTGTATCAGACCAGTCTGAGGAATAACAGGTAACTCCTGTATCAGACCAGTCTGAGGAATAACAGGTAACTCCTGTATCAGGTCAGTCTGAGGAATAACAGGTAACTCCTGTATCAGACCAGTCTGAGGAATAACAGGTAACTCCTGTATCAGACCAGTCTGAGGAATAACAGGTAACTCCTGTATCAGACCAGTCTGAGGAATAACAGGTAACTCCTGTATCAGGTCAGTCTGAGGAATAACAGGTAACTCCTGTATCAGGTCAGTCTGAGGAATAACAGGTAACTCCTGTATCAGGTCAGTCTGAGGAATAACAGGTAACTCCTGTATCAGGTCAGTCTGAGGAATAACAGGTAACTCCTGTATCAGACCAGTCTGAGGAATAACAGGTAACTCCTGTATCAGGCCAGTCTGAGGAATAACAGGTAACTCCTGTATCAGGTCAGTCTGAGGAATAACAGGTAACTCCTGTATCAGGTCAGTCTGAGGAATAACAGGTAACTCCTGTATCAGACCAGTCTGAGGAATAACAGGTAACTCCTGTATCAGGTCAGTCTGAGGAATAACAGGTAACTCCTGTATCAGGCCAGTCTGAGGAATAACAGGTAACTCCTGTATCAGACCAGTCTGAGGAATAACAGGTAACTCCTGTATCAGGTCAGTCTGAGGAATAACAGGTAACTCCTGTATCAGGCCAGTCTGAGGAATAACAGGTAACTCCTGTATCAGGCCAGTCTGAGGAATAACAGGTAACTCCTGTATCAGACCAGTCTGAGGAATAACAGGTAACTCCTGTATCAGACCAGTCTGAGGAATAACAGGTAACTCCTGTATCAGCCCAGTCTGAGGAATAACAGGTAACTCCTGTATCAGGTCAGTCTGAGGAATAACAGGTAACTCCTGTATCAGACCAGTCTGAGGAATAACAGGTAACTCCTGTATCAGGCCAGTCTGAGGAATAACAGGTAACTCCTGTATCAGGTCAGTCTGAGGAATAACAGGTAACTCCTGTATCAGACCAGTCTGAGGAATAACAGGTAACTCCTGTATCAGGTCCAGTCTGAGGAATAACAGGTAACTCCTGTATCAGACCAGTCTGAGGAATAACAGGTAACTCCTGTATCAGGCCAGTCTGAGGAATAACAGGTAACTCCTGTATCAGACCAGTCTGAGGAATAACAGGTAACTCCTGTATCAGACCAGTCTGAGGAATAACAGGTAACTCCTGTATCAGACCAGTCTGAGGAATAACAGGTAACTCCTGTATCAGACCAGTCTGAGGAATAACAGGTAACTCCTGTATCAGGTCAGTCTGAGGAATAACAGGTAACTCCTGTATCAGACCAGTCTGAGGAATAACAGGTAACTCCTGTATCAGACCAGTCTGAGGAATAACAGGTAACTCCTGTATCAGGTCAGTCTGAGGAATAACAGGTAACTCCTGTATCAGTCAGTCTGAGGAATAACAGGTAACTCCTGTATCAGACCAGTCTGAGGAATAACAGGTAACTCCTGTATCAGACCAGTCTGAGGAATAACAGGTAACTCCTGTATCAGACAGTCTGAGGAATAACAGGTAACTCCTGTATCAGACCAGTCTGAGGAATAACAGGTAACTCCTGTATCAGTCTGAGGAATAACAGGTAACTCCTGTATCAGGCAGTCTGAGGAATAACAGGTAACTCCTGTATCAGACCAGTCTGAGGAATAACAGGTAACTCTCTGTATCAGTCTGAGGAATAACAGGTAACTCCTGTATCAGACCAGTCTGAGGAATAACAGGTAACTCCTGTATCAGACCAGTCTGAGGAATAACAGGTAACTCCTGTATCAGACCAGTCTGAGGAATAACAGGTAACTCCTGTATCAGTCAGTCTGAGGAATAACAGGTAACTCCTGTATCAGTCTGAGGAATAACAGGTAACTCCTGTATCAGTCAGTCTGAGGAATAACAGGTAACTCCTGTATCAGACCAGTCTGAGGAATAACAGGTAACTCCTGTATCAGACCAGTCTGAGGAATAACAGGTAACTCCTGTATCAGACCAGTCTGAGGAATAACAGGTAACTCCTGTATCAGACCAGTCTGAGGAATAACAGGTAACTCCTGTATCAGACCAGTCTGAGGAATAACAGGTAACTCCTGTATCAGACCAGTCTGAGGAATAACAGGTAACTCCTGTATCAGACCAGTCTGAGGAATAACAGGTAACTCCTGTATCAGACCAGTCTGAGGAATAACAGGTAACTCCTGTATCAGGTCAGTCTGAGGAATAACAGGTAACTCCTGTATCAGGTCAGTCTGAGGAATAACAGGTAACTCCTGTATCAGGCCAGTCTGAGGAATAACAGGTAACTCCTGTATCAGACCAGTCTGAGGAATAACAGGTAACTCCTGTATCAGGTCAGTCTGAGGAATAACAGGTAACTCCTGTATCAGACCAGTCTGAGGAATAACAGGTAACTCCTGTATCAGTCTGAGGAATAACAGGTAACTCCTGTATCAGTCTGAGGAATAACATGTAACTCCTGTATCAGACCAGTCTGAGGAATAACAGGTAACTCCTGTATCAGTCTGAGGAATAACAGGTAACTCCTGTATCAGTCTGAGGAATAACAGGTAACTCCTGTATCAGTCTGAGGAATAACAGGTAACTCCTGTATCAGTCTGAGGAATAACAGGTAACTCCTGTATCAGTCTGAGGAATAACAGCGCGTACATCGACAGCAACTGACCCAGACCCTGACTTTGACCCAGACCCTAACCCTGACCCAAGACCTGACCCAGACCCAGACCCTGACCCTGACTTTGACCCAGACCCTAACCCTGACCCTGACCCTGACTTTGACCCAGACCCTAACCCTGACCCAGACCCTGACCCAGACCCAGACCCTAACCCTGACCCTAACCCTGACCCAGACCCTGACCCTGACCCAGACCCAGACCCTGACTTTGACCCTGACCCTGACACAGCCCTAACCCATGAACATCACAATGATACTTTAATAATGACCTATTAGTCCTCTGCATTTGACCCTGACCCTGACGCTGACCCAGACCCAGACCCTGACCCTGACCCTGACTTTGACCCAGACCCTGACCCTGACCCAGACCCAGACCCTGACTTTGACCCAGACCCTGACCCAGACCCAGACCCTGACTTTGACCCAGACCCTGACCCAGACCCAGACCCTGACTTTGACCCAGACCCTGACCCAGACCCAGACCCAGACCCAGACCCTGACCCTGACCCTGACCCAGACCCAGACCCAGACCCTGACTTTGATCCAGACCCTGACCCTAACCCTGACCCTGACCCTGACCCTGACCCTGACCCAGACCCAGACCCAGACCCAGACCCTGACCCAGACCCCGACCCAGACCCCGACCCCGACCCCACTGGGGCCTCTGTCTGGAGCAGTGGTTGCCGTAGTAACAGGGGGCCGTCTTCAGATGTGATGGAGCCCAACACTACATGGTGGTGGTGGGAGGGGCCTCAGTGTGCCCCAGGGCAGCTGTGGCTACAGTAGTAGTTTATCACCACTGTGGAGTGAAAGAATAATTATGTGAGACTGTATAAAACTGATTCATTATTATTATTATTATTATTGTTATTATTGTTATAATGAAGTGAAAACAACAGATGGGTCCATTACATGCTGCATCTTCACTCAGTCCTAAATGTAAATGTTTCTGTTTCAGTCCAAGTTTTTTAGATTTGGTCGAGATCGAGAAGAAACTGAGAGAAGCCAAGGCCGAGAAGAACCGTCTGCTTCAAGAGCGGGTGAGTGTGTGTGTGTGTGTGTGTGTGTGTGTGTCTGTGTGAGTGTGTGTGTGTGTGTGTGTGAGTGTGTGTGTGTGTGTGTGTGTGTGTGTGTGTGTGTGTGTGTGTGTGTGTGTGTGTGTGTGTGTGTGTGTGTGTGTGTGTGTGTGAGTGTGTGTGTGTCTGTGTGAGTGTGTGTGTGTCTGTGTGTGTCTGTGTCTGTGTGTGTGTGTGTGTCTGTGTGTGTCTGTGTGTGTGTGTGTGTGTCTGTGTGAGTGTGTCTGTGTCTGTGTGTCTGTGTGCGTGTGTGTGTGTGTCTGTGTGTGTGTGTGTGTGTCCGTCTGTGTGCATCTGTGTGTCTCTGTCTCTCTTTGCAGGACTGTTGTGTGTCTCTATGTGTTTGTGTCGTATCTTTGTGTGTGTTTTGTGTGGTCAGACTTAAGCCTAGTGTATACTGGTGCGGAGCTTACGGAGGTGACGTGACGTCACTTGTGCAACGCGTTGGTCACTGCAAGGCCTTTACGTCGCCTGCCGCGCAGCATCGACATTTTCTAACTACGTAAGAGTCGCCGCAAGGAAGCTCCGCTGTGATTGGTCAGTGTGTGTGTATTGGAAGGAAGCACAGAGCGGCTGCAGCAGGAGCATGGACGAGGCACTATGGAGCAGAAAGCCTGATATATAGGAGACTGTGGACTATCTAACATATATATAACTTATAAGTTATATATATGTTAGATATAAGTTATATATATATGTTAGATATATCTAACATATATATAACTTATATCTAACATATATATAACTTATATCTAACATATATATAACTTATATCTAACATATATATAACTTATATCTAACATATATATAACTTATATCTAACATATATATAACTTATATCTAACATATATATAACTTATATCTAACATAAGTTATTTACATGTATATAACTTATAATAATAATGCATCGGTTTTATATAGAGGACCCCGGACCCCGTACTCCCGGAGAACCCCCCAAAGAACACCCCGGGGAACACGGTCGAACGCCTTCTCCAAATCCACAAAGCACATGTGGACAGGTTGGGCGAACTCCCATGAACCCTCGAGTATCCGATGGAGAGTATAGAGCTGGTCCAGTGTTCCACGACCGGGACCAAAACCACACTGCTCCTCCTGGATCCGAGATTCGACCATCGGCCGTAGTCTCCTCTCCAGTACCTTGGAGTAGACCTTACCGGGGAGGCTGAGGAGTGTGATCCCACAATAATTGGAAAACACTTTCCGGTCCCCACCAACACCCCGGTCTGAGAGGGACCACCACCCCGTTCTGCCACTCCATTGGTACCGCCCCGATCACCACGCGCTAACATCCTCAGCCTCTGCGTGACGGGGGATTGAGGAGAACCTCAAAGTATTCCTTCCACCGCCCGACAATATCCCCAGTCGAGGTCAGCAGCTCTCCACCCGCACCGTACACGGTGTTGGCAAAGAACTGCTTCCCCCTCCTGAGGCGCCGGATGGTTTGCCAGAATCTCTTTGAGGCCGACCGATAGTCCTGCTCCATGGACTCTCCGAACTCCTCCCAGTCCCGGATTTTTCCCTCTGCAGCAGCCCGGGCCGTGGCACGTTTGGCCTGCCGGTACTGGACAGCTGCCTCAGGAGTCCCACGAACCATAGGCTCGATAGGACTCCTTCTTCAGCCTGCTCTGGGCTCCTTCCCCCCCAGTGAGGTGACGTTCCACGTCCCAAGAGCCAGATGTTGTGTGTGTGGACTGGGTCGTCGAGGTCTCCGCCTCCGATTGCTGCCCAGTCCTCTCAGCACCAATGCCCCACGGACCCCTCTGTGGGTGGTGGGTCCACAGAAGGGACTGCCCACGTCGTCCCTTCGGGCTGAGCCCTGGGCTCCTTGGGCTAAGGTGGGGGCCCGGCTGCGCCATGCCGGGCGACGTCACTGATCTTGTCATAGTGCTGTCCATGGTTGGCTTCCGACTGCGCTTCGTCTGACCCGTCACCCGAGACTTGGGTACCATGGGAGCCCCTACCAGGGGCATAAAGGCCTGGGTACCATGGGAGCCCCTACCAGAGGCATAAAGACCTGTGTACCATGGGAGCCCCTACCAGGGGCATAAAGGCCTGGGTACCATGGGAGACCCTACCAGGGGCATAAAGACCTGTGTACCATGGGAGCCCCTACCAGGGGCATGAAGACCTGTGTACCATGGGAGACCTGACTGTGATTTCTAAATAATCTCGTTCCTGTTTTCATGAAAAGAGAAACGTGGAGCGACTTCTTTAGACTTTTACTTTTCAGGTTTATTCTTATTCTCTGTTTGTAACTAATAATTATTCATGGACAGAAAAGTCAAAATGATAAAAGTAAAAATGGTCTGTGCAGGAGGAGCAGAGACTGAAGGAGCAGGAGGAGCAGAGACTGAAGGAGCAGGAGGAGCAGAGACTGAAGGAGCAGGAGGAGCAGAGACTGAAGGAGCAGGAGGAGCAGAGACTGAAGGAGCAAGAGGAGCAGAGACTGAAGGAGCAAGAGGAGCAGAGACTGAAGGAGCAGCAGGAGTCTCCTCTAAAACCTGCACCTCCTGAAGTCTCCAAGACCGTCCCAGACCCTGGTCCTGCAGAGGTCAGACACACTACAGACCCACTACAGACACACTACAGACTCACTACAGACACACTACAGACACACTACAGACTCACTACAGACACACTACAGACACTACAGACACACTACAGACTCACTACAGACCCACTACAGACACACTACAGACTCACTACAGACACACTACAGACACACTACAGACTCACTACAGACACACTACAGACACACTACAGACTCACTACAGACACACTACAGACTCACTACAGACTCACTACAGACACACTACAGACACACTACAGACCCACTACAGACTCACTACAGACACACTACAGACTCACTACAGACACACTACAGACACACTACAGACACACTACAGACCCACTACAGACTCACTACAGACACACTACAGACACACTACAGACTCACTACAGACTCACTACAGACTCACTACAGACACTACAGACACACTACAGACTCACTACAGACACACTACAGACTCACTACAGACTCACTACAGACTCACTACAGACTCACTACAGACACACTACAGACACACTACAGACTCACTACAGACCCACTACAGACACACTACAGACTCACTACAGACTCACTACAGACCCACTACAGACCCACTACAGACACACTACAGACACACTACAGACACACTACAGACACACTACAGACACACTACAGACTCACTACAGACACACTACAGACTCACTACAGACACACTACAGACTCACTACAGACACACTACAGAGACACTACAGACACACTACAGACTCACTACAGACACACTACAGACTCACTACAGACACACTACAGACACACTACAGACACACTACAGACTCACTACAGACACACTACAGACTCACTACAGACACACTACAGACACACTACAGACACACTACAGACACACTACAGACTCACTACAGACACACTACAGACACACTACAGACACACTACAGACACACTACAGACTAACTACAGACACACTACAGACTTACTACAGACACACTACAGACACACTACAGACACACTACAGACACACTACAGACTCACTACAGACACACTACAGACTCACTACAGACACACTACAGACACACTACAGACTCACTACAGACACACTACAGACACACTACAGACACACTACAGACACACTACAGACTCACTACAGACACACTACAGACACACTACAGACACACTACAGACTCACTACAGACACACTACAGACACACTACAGACTCACTACAGACACACTACAGACACACTACAGACTTACTACAGACACACTACAGACACACTACAGACTCACTACAGACACACTACAGACACACTACAGACTCACTACAGACACACTACAGACACACTACAGACTCACTACAGACACACTACTGACTCACTACAGACACACTACAGACACACTACAGACTCACTACAGACACACTACAGACACACTACAGACCCACTACAGACACTCTACACTCACTACAGACACACTACAGACACACTACAGACACACTACAGACTCACTACAGACACACTACAGACACACTACAGACCCACTACAGACTACACTCACTACAGACACACTACAGACACTCTACACTCACTACAAACACACTACAGACACACTACAGACTCACTACAGACACACTATAGACACTACAGACACACTACAGACTCACTACAGACACATTACACTCACTACAGACACACTACAGACTCACTACAGACACACTACAGACTCACTACAGACACACTACAGACTACACTCACTACAGACACACTACAGACACTCTACACTCACTACAGACACACTATAGACACTACAGACACACTACAGACTCACTACAGACACATTACACTCACTACAGACACACTACAGACTCACTACAGACACACTACAGACTCACTACAGACACACTACAGACTACACTCACTACAGACACACTACAGACACTCTACACTCACTACAAACACACTACAGACACACTACAGACTCACTACAGATACACTACAGACTCACTACAGACACACTACAGACACACTACTGACACACTACAGACTCACTACAGACACACTACAGACTACACTCACTACAGACACACTACACTCACTACACACACACACTACAAACTCACTACAGACTCACTACAGACACACTACAGACTCACTACAGACACACTACTGACACACTACAGACTCACTACAGACACACTACACTCACTACAGACACACTACAGACTCATTACAGACACACTACAGACTACACTCACTACAGACACACTACAGACACACTACAGACACACTACAGACACACTACACTCACTACAGACACACTACAGACTCATTACAGACACACTACAGACACACTACTGACACACTACAGACACACTACAGACACACTACACTCACTACAGACACACTACAGACTCATTACAGACACACTACAGACTACACTCACTACAGACCCACTACAGACACACTACAGACACACTACTGACACACTACACTCACTACAAACACACTACAGACCCACTACAGACACACTACAGACTCACTACAGACTCACTACACTCACTACAAACACACTACAGACTCACTACAGACACACTACAGACTCACTACACTCACTACAGACACACTACAGACACACTACACTCACTACAAACACACTACAGACTCACTACAGACACACTACAGACATACTACAGACACACTACAGACACACTACAGACTCACTACAGACTCACTACAGACATACTACAGACACACTACAGACACACTACAGACTCACTACAGACTCACTACAGACACACTACAGACACACTACACTCACTACAAACACACTACAGACTACACTCACTACAGACCCACTACAGACCCACTACAGACACACTACAGACACACTACTGACACACTACAGACACACTACAGACTCACTACAGACACACTACAGACTCACTACAGACACACTACAGACTCACTACAGACACACTACAGACACACTACAGACTCACTACAGACCCACTACAGACACACTACAGACACACTACTGACACACTACTGACACACTACAGACCCACTACTGACACACTACAGACTCACTACAGACACACTACAGACTACACTCACTACAGACACACTACACTCACAACAGACTCACTACAGACACACTACAAACACACCACAGACTCACTACAGACACACTACAGACTCAATACAGACCCACTACAGACCCACT